GTTGAGTAGTCCTTGACTTACGACTGGTTGAGTAGTCCTCGACTTATGACGGTTGGGGGTCGCGGCATTAAAAAGGTTGAGAACCACTGCTCTATAGTCTGTGAGAAGAGGAGTTGAGGAAACAAGATAATGGTCAGCTACACTACAGTGACAGTCTAAAGACAGGAATCAAACTAATATATTTCATAAACCCAGTGGCAAGGATAACAAGGGTTTGGTTCCGAAATCCAGCACCATAGTCCTGTCAAAGTCATTGACTTGGCCACTATTCTTTTCTCTTTCCAATCCTCAACATCAACGAATCATGAAGACATGCACAGTGACATCACCACACAAAATGCCACTCTAATGAACTTTCATTCTTCCATCTGACTGAAACATAGAAGTTGCAGTATTTGCATAATGACATTGCTATGTATTTTTCATCATTTGCCTCCTGCACACACGTCCATGTCTCCAATCATTCCAAATGATTGTAAGCTGCCATACTGAGTGGTTGGAAGGGAAAGAGGGACCGACAAGCCTTAGGAAACACAAGCATTTCAAAATTCCATTTTGATTATGCTAGAGTTGATTTAGATCAGTGTTTCTCAACCTTGACAATTTTAAGGCATGTGGACTTCAACTCCCAGAATTCCACAGCCAGCAATGCTGGCTGTGGAATTCTGGGAGCTGAAGGCCACATGCCTTAAAATTGTCAAGGTTGAGAAACACTGATTCATATAGTTTTGACTTTGTGCAGATCCTTATACTCTTCCCAGTTGCAGACTAGCCCATGCTGGGATTTTAAATGTTGGGTTTTATTTTGAAAATATAATTTGAAACTGAATTTCAACAGTTGAAATTCAGCTTCAGCAAAGTTGAAATTTACCAAAATTATACTCATTTCCCTTCTCTCTTAGACATCCAGCCACCCTACAAAGTATCAGGTTGATGATTTTTTTTCCCCTGCAACTGCCTTGGAAGAGAATGGCTCATTAGGGCCCAGAAGCCAAGGTGAATCAAGGATTTATGCCAGCAACGGATGAACCACCCACAAAGCATTGCAAAGGACATGACCAGTTTGGACCCAATTTCAAACAAACCAACCACAGACATAGAAAAAAGCCTAATCTGTTCCTATGGCACAAAGCTCTTTGGTGAAAGTGTCCCAAGTAAATGAGGAACATTTCAGTTTTCTTATTGCTATACATAATTCCTCTTGCATATTTGCTTAAAAACAAGTCCTGATCTGTTCAAAGGGGATTGCTCCTATAATATGTAACAGGATTATCCTTCAGTGGCCAAGTGACTACATGAAAGCGCATTCCTAGCTGAACTGCTATCCTTGTATCAGCAGAAAAGTTGAGCATGAAGTTTCTCCTGCTCTGTCTTTTCTGTTCCTGTTAGGTGACAAAGCCTAACAACTGCCCCTTTGCAGTTATGGGGTCAGAATTAAGACAATTAATACTAGTTTAAGAAGTTGCCAGGATAGATTTGTGATATGTATGTGGAATAGTCTTTTAGGGCTAAATAAAGGCACAACCATATCGAGATGGCTACTACCAGACATTTTCATTACAGCATGGAAGACCGAAAGACAAGGAATCAAGCTAGAACTTCAGTTAGAACTGAAGAAACTTATTGGATGAGAAGCAAAACGTTTTCAAAGGGAAAAAAACCAAGAAAGTCTACTTGCCTTTTGGGAAAGAAAAAAAAAAGCACTTTGGGACAATCGTGACCTGGATGATTGAAAATCCCCATAGACAAGGAATCAAGAAATAGAATTTTCTATGTACATTTCATGTTCCCACCCTAATTACATCTTTTGACATGCCCACAAGCAGGATACACTTTGAACATGTTGAGCTTATTTTCTAAAAATTGAGGCTGAGACAAGTACCATATTTTCCGGTGTGTAAGGCGACCCGGTGTATAAGACGATCCCCGACTTTGGCACCAATTTCCATGCCTAGAAAGTCATCTTCTCTGCTGGAAACGACCATAATTTCCAGCATATAAGACGACTCGGCGTATAAGACGACCCCCGACTTCGGCGCCGATTTCCGCACTTTAGAAAGTCATCTTATATGCTGGAAAATATGGTACAGTATTAGGTGCTCTTGCTGTTAAAAGGTCAAGCATGCATAGATCACTTTAGCCAGAGAGATCTCTTGGCACCTAGGATTGTTAGTATTCCTGAAAGTTTTGTGGCTCTTCTTACTAAAACAAGCATTTGCCCAGCCCACAGCACTTGGTTTAATGCAAATGGGAAAGGCCTTATCTGACACTAGTAAGCAGAGAGAGAAAAACTGGCCAAATGTAAACAATAAGCTACCTCTTAAATCTAGTCATATTTGGACTGATAGAGTTATGGCCTACATATAATAGTTATAAAACATTATCATTCCAATCTGTTCTTTCTACGACTTCTCCATATCTCTCTGGGTGGTGGACAGCTTCCATGTCTAAGGATCAGCAATAAAGCAATTGAATTATGCCTGCAATATATAAACAAATGCTAATGTAGTGTTACCCCCTCAGAGGCTGCCAAAGCCCAGGCCCTCCCAGTCCCGCTCCCCTCCATCGCGCTCTGCAGCTACCTCTCAAGGTGTTAATAAAGTGTCTTTTCCACCGGGAGCTCACGTGAAGTGAGGAGATGGCAAATTCTCATCGTCAAGGGGGGGGGGCTTTCAGGAACAAAGATGACCAGCCCCTAGCCCTGATAGTCAATGTGTGGCATTGTTTAACAGCCCCAGGCAGTCGTAGCAGCAATAGTCAATGATTTTACAGCGACCGTTTGAAAACAAAGGGGTGGGGAAAACCCCAGCTCCAGGCAGCAATGGAAACACAAATGAAGATAGTCAGTGCTCTGCAGTAACAGCTTGTCCCGCAAGGGCAATTCCCCACAATGTCTATAACTTGCACAAGTAACAGTAATCAAAGTTCGGATGGCTGCTGGTCTCCAAACCAATAGCGACCAGCCTCTCCTTCTCTTCTGTCGTCGCTCGCAGTCTCAGGTCTCGTCGATGTCAAAACCTCTCCCCCCCTTTCCTTTATTGTTAAAAACTGAATTTAGCAACTTTTTCTCTCCTCACTCTCTCTCTTGCCTCTGTTCAGGATATTCCCCCCCACACTTAAGAAACAATAAAATTCCACCTTCTCACTCTCTTTCACTCTCTCCTTCCCTCTCCTTCTAAGAAAGGGATCAGGTAAAACCTCAAATCCTTCTTCACCTGGTTTCTCCCCGACAACAGCAACAGCAACACCCCTTCTCTTTCCTCCTTTTTCTTTCCTTCCACCCAATCCACATCCGCCACACCCAAAACTGGCAGCAGCTGTTCAAGCTTCCCTCTCCTCAGGCAGGCTCCCACAAAGCCTTTCAGCCAGCCCCACTACACTAACATGCAGGGGCATCTGCAGTATATGGTCAAAAATGTTAAGATGGAAGCCACAATAGCACACTGAAAGTCCTATCTGGGTTTTTTTTTTTTTAATGCATTGCACATGAGATGGACATATAAAAAACAGACAGAGTTTTAATCACGCTTTTATGGTTACCATCTTGACTTTTTTAACCATACCTCATGGGCAACCTTAGACACACCTCAATGAAAACAACATTTAAGAGATACTTCTTGCTACACAGAGTTCTCTAACAGGTTAAGAGGACGTGCAGCAGGATGGCAACCTGACAGCAAAGGAAAAAACAAATACTAATGAGTCTTCTTAAACTGTAAATGCATAGCAGCAAAACAACAAGGAGATGCTCAGACTAAATATTTGAAAATGTAATTCTATTGAACAGCAAAATCAATGTTGTTAAAACAGCCAGCTACTTCAAAAAGTGGCTTGTCTTAGAGATGATGAAAGCCTGTCATATTACAGGGCCAGTTAATTTGAAAATATTTTCTTGTACTTTATTTCCCAGACTTGGCTTTGTAATACAAATCAGGCATTAAATAGAAGAATACATTTTGTTTTCTTGGAAATCAGACGCAAATCCCTCCAGGCGGTTTTGTTCAAGTCCAGGATTCAGTTGATTCATTAACTAAACGGAGCCACAATTTTCTGCAGAGGAGGCCTGAGGCTGTTGTGAACATTTTAGAAGCAACTGCAAAATTTCAGAGCGCTCAGAAGTGATCAAGAAGAGCAGGTCATCACAGGAATATATTTTTTCTGACACAAGTAGCACATGAATAAATCAAAGGTGCACTGGGAATATAACAGGCTCGAAAGATGGAGCCAATTCAAGAACACAAGATGACCTAAAGGCTGCAGCACATTTTGTGAGATCTTTGAATGTTCAGAAAGATTTGGGATAATCATGTTAGAGATGAGATTCAAGGATTAATACAGCTAAATAAAGCGCATTTCAACTTTTAACAGCTGCTTGCTACATGTAGTGTAGAGGTTAGTCTATGGAATATGACCATAAAATATTTGGAATTCAGTAATTATTTTAACAGAAAGGCAAGCCTTTTATACTGAAGGAACAATTCAGCAGAAGTGCAGAACTCATAGCAAGTTTATCTGGCTATTTTCTGATATCTCTAAATGAGTTTTAACAGCAGTTTTAGGGGATCTTGTGTGGCAATCTGGAAAATACTTGGAGGATAAATGGTACCATTTTGTACCAAATGCTATATTTTTGTACTAAGTCTAGAAAATCATTTTTGAAACCATATAGAAAATAAAGCCTGTTACAAAATATGAGCAGATATTTTATAACTAAAAATAGATTTATGCTTCCCTAAAATATTTCCAAACTAAAGTAACACTTTATACCAAAATCTACATTTCAAATTTTGTGATGCAGTTCTTTAAAAAAATGTTATATTGCAGAGACTAATGGTGAAAAATTCATTTACATATAGGATAGTCATTTACAAAAGAATTAGAGCAATATGTACCAAAATAAGTCTATCAATAATTTTTAACAACCTTTATTTAAGATAAGAGTATAAGCATTCCTACTTGTAGTCGTGGTTTCAAAATACAGGATGGTGTATTTATTTATTTCTCAGTCTCACATTCTTCCTTGTTTCAAAAATTACTCCAAGAAAATAACATCACAGATATAATACTAATACAATAAAATATTCACAGTAAACCAAATTTTTTGGTTTTTATGGGTTAAATTTTATGGATTAAATTTATGCATCTGCAATAGTGTAGTAAAAAAAACCTGAACTCCTTGCTAAAACTGGTGCATTATCAACAACTGTATAGTATCATCAACAGTCACTGAAAACTCTCCAAAAAAGCTTCATCTTAACTTGCTTCCTTGTGAATTATCAGGAGGAGACTCTTCCACAGGACAGCCGCCATAATGGAGAAACAATATTTGATGATTTGAGGTTCAGGACCTCATGAAAGTGGGAAATTACTAAACATTTTTCTCATGATTTATGTATTGTGTGATTCAAATCCACTGGAGAAGCAGTACTGCAAGTGCTTCTGAACTATATAGGGTTTTACAGATTGAATCAAGCTCTTTGAATGGCACCTGGACACCTATGAAAAGTTTGGATCTATAACACGTAGGTATCATCATATTGGTGACTATTATCAGCCAGTAAATGGGATGCTGCATTCTCTATCAATAGCAGTTTCTGAGTGATCTTTGAAGAGGGCAAAGATTATATTCCACATATAAACTATAACAAGTTTGGACAATCTCACTTGCAGTTTCAGATCAACCTTGGACTAGAGACAGGTAGGTCCAAACCAACACTCAAGAATTACAGCTCCCCCAATCACTTGATACAGATAGTCTTTGCTTAACAACTACCCTGTTTAGTGACCATTTGAAATTACAAGGGCATTGAAAAAGTAGCTTCACACCCAGTCCTCGCACTTATTACTGTTACAGCATCCCTGTGGTCACATGATCAAAATTCAAGCATTTTACAACTGGTGGGTGTTTATGACCATCACAACATCCCGTGGTCAGGTGATCACCATTTATCTGCATGCTTCACTTCCAACATGCAAAATCACTGGAGAAACCGACAGTAAAATTGCAAATCACAGTCACATGATGTCTCACTTAACCACTGTGGATGATTCACTTAAAAACTGCAGCAGGAGTGACATTGTACGTTCAGTGCACATGATATTTTGCTTAATGACCGCATCACCTTGTAATTCAGTCCTGGAAGAGAAAAAATTCATTAAGAACTACCAGAAACAACATATATATTTTAAACTTGAGCAAATAAAACCACTTTATATTCATCCCACTTGCTTTTTAAAAGCTTAACTTTTAATCTCTTCAAATAATTTCTCACAAGTTGATTTATTATCATTTTCTTTTTCTCTCAGAAGCTCCTTCACTAGTTTAAACATGTCTCTTTTGTAAATCTAACATAAGAAATTTATCCAAATCACTCTTGATTTATTATTTGTAGGTCCTGTTTACTTATTAAGATGTCAGCTGTTTCATTCGAAAATCCAGTGTGGCATTTTTTTTTTCCATATCATTCTGGTATGCTGACATTTTTAAATCTATTTTCAGATCCACATTCAAATTAGCCTCTATTTTGCCTACTAAAATCAGCTCTTCTATAGCAACTTTTAAATCTCTTTCTATAAAAGCAGTAATTTCTGTAAGGACTTCTTACAGTTAGGTGCAAAAAGCATATATATCTTTGTAAAATTTTAAACAACCCACAGATAGTATTCTTTCAAGGCCATCTGGCCCCTTAATTCATGTATTTATTTAAAAGTATATTTTTAAGTCCATAACTTCTATGTCCATAAACATCTGCAAGAAAAAAAGCAAGCTCAGGGAGCATCAAATACCCCTCAAGTCCATAAACTTGCATGAAACTTCTTTAATCAAAGATAGAAGGAAACTCAGGTAATGAAACTTGCCCTTCTGAAATTTCTTAACATCCAAAAAGCCACCAACAGGCAATTTCTAAGATGGTTAAAAGAGGAAGTATGCGAACCCAATGCCAAAACATGACTTAGGTAAGATGACTCCCTCCCAGCTCCTGGAGTCTAAAACCCATTCAAAATAGCTGTCTTATAGTATCCCTACCTTTGTACGGAGCACTTGTGGGTGATTCCTGCTCAAGAGAGGAATTCCAAAGAGATGATCCATTCATCGATTCGTCTTTGCCACCACAACCATTAGCCGCACTCTCTGTGGAGATCACCATTGCTTTCTCAGAAGTCCTGTCCTTGCTGTTTTAATGAGGTTGGGCTTAGCAAAGCAGTTGGTGAATTCCCCTAATTTCATTTCTCCTCCACAGAATATCATCTGCCAGAAAGAAAACAGACATCTTTAAAATGTGGTGGAATGGATAGGTAAATGTAGGCTTATGCATAGAACAGCTGATTTAAGCCCTCTGTCAAACTGCCTGTATAATCAAGCCACAGTTGTGGAGGTGTCCTATCATTCTCTTCCTGAACATGAGTCTAGTACTCTTCTGAAAAAAATGGTGAAAGAAATAGGTAGCTCTTTAGTCCCAGGTACAGAAGAAGGGCATGGGGGTAAAGAGACTGAATGAACAGAATCCATGCTTGTCTAGTGCTGCAAGGGAGCAGTAGTGTTAGCAGTAAGTGGCATGGCCAGCAGTGGACAGAAATAGCCTTGGAGTTCAGGTTGTCCTCGCTTAATGACCATTCATTACCAACTATTCAAAGTTACGACAAACCCTCCAAAAGCTACTTATGACCCAGTTTCAGAGTTCCAACAGGTGCACATCCTCCCACAGTCACAGGGACACACTTTGGGTGCTTACAGCTGGCTCACCTGCATGGCCAGTTGTAGGATTCCGTGGTCACCAGACTGATTTACAATGTTTTTTGCTAGTTTCTATCTTTTCAGCCAGCTTCCAGGAAAAAAAAGGAATGTAGTCCATATGGCTACATTGATTCACTTAATGATCATTGCATTTCTTTAACAACTGCCGCAAAAAGGTCATAAAATCAGGTCCAGTCATTTGGGTGCCTAAACATACGACAGTCAAGACTTACAACAGAAATTCCAGACTCCACGACAGTCATAAGTCAAGGTCTACCTATAGTCCATCTTCACCAAGCAAAAAACACTGAAGCATGGTCACGTAAAATCCCTTTCTTATAAGAAGTGGCAAAAACATATAATGCATTTATTGAGAAAAGAGCAAACAGACTTCTGGCAGATGAACCCAGCTCTCTGCCCCAGTTTAAAACTATATTATATGCAGCACAGGACTAGTGTTCTCTCACAAGGACTAGCAGCTCTTTGAAAAGAGCACTCAACCCACATGTATAATGAATTTGTATAAGACTTGACAGATGCTTTGGAAAACCTCAAATGGATGCTTTTGTGGAAGGTAGGTTTTTGGTCTCAAAATGGCCATAAAGTCTGGCAACCAGAGGAAGGGACATGTTTGCAACTGAATTAAGTACCTTGGAGGAGTTGGAACAATCCCAAACCCAGACTGAATTCTCAATCCTATTGCCAAAGAAGTGTGCTAAATTATATCCATGACAAAAAAAAAAATTGGTTTCCGAGGAAGATTTTAAAGCTGAACATCTAAAGCTTACTTTAAGCTGCCTCAGCTCTGGCTTAGAATGAGACAAAGGCAATGTCATGAGGATATGGCATTATAAAAAGCTTACCAGGACAAATTCCCTACTGCAATTAGGGGCACATGAGGATGAGCCTTTGAGTAGCTACAAGCCAGCAGCGTAAATGAGTCATAATTTCTGCTTGATCCGTTTTTCAACAGATTGCATGTACAATTCGGGGCTCTGAAGCCTGCTTGCCCTTGATAGGTTTCCAGAAAAGGAAGACAACAAAAGCGTCATTTAGTTATGTTTTTGCTTTCCCCAAAGAAAATGTGAACAGACCAAAGCTCTGTTCAGACCATTACTAGCTAAAAGTAAGGTCAGCAAGAAAGATAATAGTTCCAAAACAATTACCATTAGATCCATTAGAGTCCCTTAGGATATATTTGAGGTATGTAAATGATAAAGTACAAAATAGAAATCTTGCAAATTTCACATTCTGTGTTTCTATTATCATGCTAAGACAATAGCTGGGTTGCATCTAAAATGGAAATAATTAAATAAAAGCTTATAAAAGATAAGGAAAAAGAGCCTAGGCAAATGTTTACCAATTGTGTCAACTTCCAGATGTATGGAGTTCAGGAATATACATACTAGCTAGAGAATTTTGGTCACATCTGGAAGTTGCCAACTTTGGGAAATGCTGGCCTACACAATCCCTCCTGTTTTTCCTCTCCAGTCACCAGATGCCCAATACTACAAAACACAAGCAAGATATGAGGATGAAAGCCTCTTATCCTTATCATTCCTCCAGAACTGGTATTTAGAGCCATGCTGCTTCATGTCATAAATTAAATAAATTACCATGTATGTAATTATTTTCCTATCTTATGATTGTCTCCTGCAAATCCCTCCAAATAAAGGCTAGGAAGTATTAAGATTCATCCATATGTTCTATGCAGGGACAAAGGAAATGCTGCTTTAGTAATTCTTTTGGTGATATTTCTTTGAAGATGTATAGTTGTCAGCAAAAAAGATGGCCCTCAGGTCTCTATTCCAGGTATTAGAATAGGGGTGTCAAACTTGCCATGTCATGTGACATAGTGCGATGTATCGTGACTTTTTCCCCATTGCTGAAGCTGGGTTGGGCGCGGTTTCGGCATGACACATGCGGCCTGCGGCCGGCAGTTTGACACCCCTGTATTCGAATGTCTGAAAATTTTACCCTATCCTAAATTCTCCTTGAATTTCTTCTGAGCCCCTGTCATTTCTTCAACATTGCAAGAGACATCTGGATCAACCAACTGCTTCTGTTAATTAATTTTATATTTAGTGTTCGGCTGTTGCCACCATTTGTTCTTTCTTTTATTTTCATAATATTTGTTTTCCCCCATCAACTAAAAGCAATAACGTTTTTAGATAAAGTGCCATGAACAAAGCTTCCAACATAAGTAGGGAGGGGGGGAAATGCCTATATCCCTGCCAAATCACATACAGAGACAAATCTAAACGAGTGAATTTAGGTAATTAACACACAGCCAAGCCAAAGAACTAGATCTGGAAAGGCTGCCAAACACCAATTACCTGTGCAGCTTAAAAGCACAGGCAATAAGCATTTCCCCAAAGCCTTTTCATCACAGTCTTATCAAATTTTTATGTTCGGCTTTTCTTCTTCAGGCAAGAAGAAGATGATAAAAAGACAGATCAGAATAAACACCTTGATTTGATTTTAGAAAAAAAAAGTATTCCATGACAGGACAGCCCTTGGCTGACCTCGACTCACCTAGGAAAGCAGATCAGATCAGACAGGTTTGAAGGGACCACAGGAATTCCCAAGGCTACAGTTAAAAAAACATCCCAGAAGATGGCAGTGGCAAACAATTTCTTTCTTTGCCAAGAAAGTGACGCTTTCTCTCCCAAGATAAAAGCCAAAGTTTAGCACAAAAGTCAAAATCAAGGACTTTTGGCTATCTGATCTGAGCAGCTAATAGTAGCTATGTTCACACATCAAAACTTAAGAGGTTTAGAATACCAGGCCAGCCAAATGAATTTGGCAACTGAGACACAAAATTGCTCACCAATGTCCTTTCCCTCCATGACTACAAAACTCCAAGGATGCTAAATACAATAACTAAAACCTGAAAACCAGGTTTTGCCCCATTCCACTTAAGAGTTGCCTTTGGCATATGTTGGCATCCATGACTTCCACAATCTGTGGCAGAAAAGAGGGAATCAACCTATTCTCCAAAGCACCTGAGGGCAAGACAAGAAGTAACAGGTGGAAGATCGTTAAAAAGAGATCCAACTTAGAACTAAGGAGAAATTTCCTGACACTGAGAACAATTAATCAATGAAATGGCTTATCTCCAAGAGATGTGAGTATTCCATCACTGGAGGTTTTCAAGAAGAGACTGGACAGTCATTTGTCCAGAATGATATCAGATCTCCTGCCCTGGGCAGGGGGTTGGACTAGATGATCTCCAAGGACCCTTTCAATACTATTATTCTATGTTCTCAAATCTCCTTTGGAGGCCACACTAGACCAACAAGTGTTTCAGGCTTGCCTATTCATTATTTATTATGGAACCGTTTCCATGAATAAATGAGCCTTAATCACATGCAGACCAACTGCATGGTTCAACAGTGTTTGAAAGGGTGATGAGATAGCATCTAAGATCAAGCCAAAAATTGAGGCATTAGCAAGATTGAAGGCTTCCGTCAAAATGATGCTTTTCTCTGTGTGTATGATGTAATGACACATCTACAAAAGGGAATTTGTGTTGCAGTGTATGGATATAACATGGGTACAAATTAGGAAGGATACTTTGATAAGGGACTTCCCAAATCTATTTGGCTTATTGTCAGGAAATCAAACAGAGAAGCAAAAATAAGCTGGGTATTTGGAGGATCCAGAAATGGCTAAATTGTTCCACAAAGTCTACATTTGCAGAAAAAAAATTCTATTCAAGACAAAAATTAAATGATTCCTTAGCATAGCTCTTTAAAAAATATATAGATATACTGTAAAGAAAAGAAACAATTTAGGTATCTCTTTGGATGTTTGCAGGAAAACATTGGAGAGCAATCAATATAAAGTAGTCACACTCCATTCTAGAGGTGTCCAAACCTGACTACTTTAAGATTTGAATTGACTTCAACTTCAATTCCCAGAATTCCACAGCCAGAAGTGGGGAATTGAAGTCCACAAAGTTGCCAAGGTTGCCTACCCCTGCTCTATTCATTAACTGGAGAACCAGCCAGGCAGAGAAGCAAGTTGTAAAGTATACTTCTATTCACGTTTGCTTTAGCGTTTTTTAAAAAAGACCCTCCTTGCAATTGTAGATGCTCGGGGCATGTTTCAAAGAAGTTTGAAAGGAGAAAAAGAATCAGTCAGAATATTTTATTTCTCAGCTTATTATGGTCTTAAAGTAATTTGAGCTTGTAACATGTTGACGAAAATTGTTATTCATATTGCTTTCCTAGGTAGCATTTTAAACAGTGATGGGTGAAAATGAAGCAAAACTAGCCAGTGACGCTAATCATTTATTTTCTTTATTATTTTTACAAATAACTCAAGCTGGTGAATGTAGCCAACACAATTTTCTCTTTCTATTTTTCCCACAACAACAACTCTATGAAATAGGTTGGGCTGAGAGAGACTGAACCAAAGTCACCCAGCCGGCTTTCATGGCTAAGACAGGACTAGAACTCACTCAAGATCTCTGCCCAAAAATTTGGCAGAGAATTTCAAAAGCCCATTTG